GATGAACTGTCCTCATTGTCGGACGACCTTATCTTCACCAGGTGACTGACCGCCCGACATTGAGGTCAGCCGGGCCAGTATCACCTGGTTAGGCGTTCGTCCAGACGGGCAGTTCCTTAACCTTTCACCACCTGTGCACTGGCAGAGATCCAAACTAAACAGAGTAATAAAGGCAGACACTTCGTTCAAGTCAGATATCGCGGAAGCGCCAAAAACCACTGGTAACCAGAAAGCACTCTGCTCGAGGTTGTTTATTGCTACTACAAACTGCTGACGCAGAGCAGCGATGAACGTATCCAGTATTAGTGTCTTTCTGGTAGGCGATGCAATTCAACGTTATTGAACCACCAGCAGTATCAGCCAATCACCGAGAGAGCTGCGGATGCTTCCAAATATATCCACCAGTATCTCTCTGTAACTCTTGGTCAAAGTGTGCGTGAGAGCTGATAAACCACCAGTGCTCACTATGTTCATTGATTGAGTTGTTTTGAGCAAAAGTGCGGCAACTTATCGCTCTGTACGATCAGTCACAAGATCCACTCTGACTGCATTTGGCCGCTNTTCATTGATTGAGTTGTTTTGAGCAAAAGTGCGGCAACTTATCGCTCTGTACGATCAGTCACAAGATCCACTCTGACTGCATTTGGCCGCTTCTCACCACTGGACCACAGGGACTTCCCGAATGGACACAAACAATGGCTAGTGGTGGTCAGGGGGCGATGTGTGCCAGGCCGGTAATCGGGCAAAGGCCGACCTTTAGTCCCCATCCCAGTGGCTCTCACTCGCTCTCTCTGAGCGGCATGGAATGTACTCGACTGTCACGCCATCAACGGCGGTGTCGCTCACCACCACAGCTGAGCAAATTGTATAACAGCGGCTGCGACTGCACAGTGCTCTCTCACTCGCGTCCTCGTGCACAGCTCGGAGCTCTCTCTCGCTCTCCTTCAGGCCAACATCTCTCTGGAGCCGCGTTCTATTCTTCGCCCGCTGAAGAATCGAGCCAGCCGAGTCCGCCGCCACTTTTCATTATCAATCTCCTGCAATGTACTTGGCCGTCAAGCGTTTGGGCAACGCTGCCTGGAAAGCATCGCTCTCACAGTCACAGGTATGGGTTGCTCTTCGTAGTCACCTTCAACTTCGACGGCGGCGTCTCGCCCGCCCCGTAACCTCTTTACGCGTCTCGTTGACATTTTAAAACTAACTCTTGACATCCGCATCCTAGGCTCGCAAGACTGATCGGGTGTTCATTCCATCGGCCGTGATTCTCACTCTCTCCGGCCTCAGTCTCTCGGTGTTTGGTCTTCACCAGCTCGACTCTTCACATCGCCTCTTGGCTGCGCAAAAGGTACGCCAGTGAGCCCAACACATACACACACAGCAATCCTCTCTCTGATGGCACTGTGCAGCATTGAATAGTCAAGTCACCCTACTACTATCGACGGAGAAATGTACTGCTCATCATTCTTCCATCCTTCATTTCACGACATTTTCGTCAACTAGAACCATCTCAGCACACACTCGCTTCCATCAAAATGGATCGATAGTATTAGTGGCTTATATCTCAATTGGTCATAGCCTGAGTATTTAATTTATTAACAATAAAAAGTTGTTTCGATTGCTTATTTGCTCTTTTCATTAACACTTTCTTTTTCTTGTACAGAGATGTACAATGAAGGAAGAAGTCAGTGGTGGTGGTGCACACATCACACTGCCCGAGTTACGCATCAAGTCATCAAGTCTGGCAGAAGAAAGAAAGCAGCTGCTAATTGCTCAGCAGTCGGAAACATTCATTGAATTCTCATGGATTTATTTATAAACTGCCAGCTAGCAATAGTAATTGAGCAAACAAACAATCTAACGCCGTGGCATTTTGGCACTTGAAGTTAACCACCAAGCCTTCTTCGGTGGCGGCGGCGGCAGCGATGGCAGTCGTATCCACAGTGCCTGTCAGACGGTAATCTCCAGTCGGTTCGACTTTCGCGTGAGCTTCACCTCGTGGTTGGTGCTTTCCGCGCTGGGTCGGTTTCTGCTCTTGAAATCATGAAAGATCAGCATCAGGGTTTCTTTACCTGTGTGCACTTGAAATCTATAAATAGAACACCGACATTATAGCTGACAGCTGTGTGCGAAGAGCAGATTTTGGCACGGCAGTACAGCGTAGTGTACGGCGTGCCCAGCACGTCGTACATAACTGCCGCCTCTGCCACTACCATCTCCGCTATTATCATCAAAGTGCACAAACAACTTACTCATGCGATATCTCCACAGTGGGCCCTCTGCCAACGGTGTTCTGTATCACGAGGAACAGCTTCGACACCAGCTCAATCAGGTGGCTCGACTCGAAGAGGAAGGCGCGACTGTTCAAGCCTTGCTCATCCTGTTTTTCAAGTGACAACAAGTAAACAACAAATCACGTAGTAGCCAGCGGCAGTCAGTGAGCGTCTCTCAAATCCTTACCGTGTAGATGTGAATCACAAAGATGTTGTCAGTGAAGGGGCTCGTGGAGATCTTGAAGATATCCTGCAGCTTGACGAGGTGGTTGATCTGCATCGTTTTATGGTCGAGAATGATGAAGGAGCTCGTGCTGATGACCACCAGCTTCTGTGCAAACTAGAATTCATTCAGTAGTTTTTAGTGTTGTCGTCGCCGTACTGGTCGCTGTATCATTTTCCCATATCCTACCCATATCTTACCTTGCCGCATCGTTTGGTTATCTTGCTGACTAAATCGGCAAAGACGACGTACATCTCGCCCAGCTTTGGCAGCAGCTTCTTCCACTTGACATTCTGCCGCAATCGAATGTAATCGCCGCGAAATGGATGCGATAGTGAGCTGCGGTAGGAGGCTTTGCGGTGGCGAAACAGCGCCGCTGCTGTCACCTTCTCGCGCATTCGATTGCGGTTCGGCTGGTCAAAGCGCATTCGGTATTGGTGGCACTGATCAGCAACAGAAAATAGATCAAAACAGTGTTAGGTGAGCCATGAGACATACCCGCCACTTGTGGAACAATTTCCTGAGCAGGTGATTAGTTTCACGAAGGAGTCTCGGAGCGGCTGGCCACTCTCGCCCCAGTGGAGATCGGGAGGGCAGATGTTCTGCCAGCCAGTAGAGGTACTTTTTGCGCTAGATGGAGACAATTTGGTGAGCTTTGGTGGAAGCAGCAGATCAATCCGACTCACTTTCCAGTTTCGGTAGAAGCGGGAAATCTTTATCTGCGCAAAAACCATTCGCTGATACTTTCGCTGTTGAACCCAAGCTCGGACGGTCTTCTGAATTTTGGTGGCCACCTCGGCCAGTTTAATTGACCGCCACTCTTCTAGGGTGATCAGCTGCGGAGTGTATTTTAGTAACTGGCAGTGAGTTTTCGTCAACACCATCAACACCTACCGTTTTAAAGGTCTTTACGTATATTTTTCCCTTGCCAAAAGCAAACCCAGCCAGCTGCCCGTCAAAAAGCTGAAAGAGGAGAATGTAGACGCCATTGAGCGCATTGCCCGACCAAGTGGGCCAGGTTTGAGCGGAAAGAAGGCGGAAGCGTTCAAAGAAGTTTGCGTACCGCTGCGAGAAAAAGTAGGCTTTCTTGAGAAAGGCACTCTGCTCGATGAGAAACTGCGACCGCAGCTGCCGGAAGACGTACTCGTCGTCGATGAGGTTGGGCATCTTCAGACGATTCGGGCGAATGCACTTTACAAAGTGCAGTTGTTTACTTTGCAGCTTTGCGATGACTGACTCCACTGAGATGATGAACTGATTGGCTAGTGTAATTGGCTTCTTTGGGTTCTTTCGCGCCGGGTTGCCCTCGGGAAAGAGAAGTTTCAGCAGACTGTGATCGCTTTTAAAAAATAGGGCCGACCAGTCGCGGCTGATGTGGTCGGTGTTCTTCTCGATGAAACCATTGATGCTGTACACGACCTGGTTTGGGTTGAAAAAAGAAAAAATTCATTAGATCCAAACTGAAGGCTAGTTTTTTGCCATACATTGCCAATGTAGTGCTTGACGGCAAAGCACAACTGTGGAAGCGATTTGGTAATGTCGCCAGCTGAAAGACGTCGGTATGGAAGACTGGGAACTAAGTAGCTGCCGCTGCTGTCGCGATTCGCCCGAACCGGATTGGTGATGCTCGTGTAGTGCAAATCTGAATCACAGTTCTTGTTCAGATTCTGTATGAATATCTCCTCGCCAAAGTACACCTTCTTGGAGCTCTCTTTCTCTAGTGTTGCTAGAACTCCGTCGATGGGCTGTAGTCAACAGAGTTAAAATTTATACTGTCTGGTTATACTTTCAAGTTGTTCTTACCCTTTCGATGAGATCACAAAGCAAATCATTTGAGTTTATGTGCACTGGTTGCCATTCAATTTCCTGGCGAAACGAGCAGATTAGTTGAAAATCTTCCTTTGAAGGGAACACAAAAACCGTACCTCGCAAATGTAATCCTCCTGTACTTGTCGAAAGTTGTAGTCAATGAAAACCTGCTGAATCTTCTCGTAGAGATAGTTGATGAGCAGTTGCTCAAAGCAGTTTATCTGAAGTTATTTACAAAAATTACAAAAATTTCAAAAACGTGACATTTAAGTCAATACTCACAGTGTACTTTTCAAATCCATACGAGTCAAAAAGTGTCAGATTGTTGCGAGACAAGTTGGCCGATGGTTTGGTCTGAAATTGGTTAAAGATGAAAATTGCTTGTTCTGTTTCAAAACTGTTCAGCACTCACCTTCACCAGTTCGTTAATGCGCCCAACCAGCCAAGTGAAAAGGCGACTGTACAATGCTTTACACAAGGAGTTTTTCACTTTATTAGCCTGTCCGACAAATTAAATTGCAGTAAATTACAATCGAGTTTACACATAAATAGTCTTACCGAACTTGCAGACAGCTCGGCGATAAAGACATCATTTTGATTTTTCACAATCTTCTGAGTTAGCAGTTTTTGAAAAAGTGCAAATTCTAACTGAAAGGCAGTGCAAATGTCGATGATTTCTGCAGAAATGATGAAAATTGTTTAGTATATTTAACCGAATGTGGAGCGTTCCCAGAGTGGTTACCATAGTCAGCAAGAATGGTACAGCCCTCGGTGCTGTCTATGTTTGCTCGTCGAAGAAAATTCACATTTCCTAGTTTGATTATAAAGGCCAGTATTTGAAAGCACTCGATAATTTCATCGGAAGTAAAGCCTAAAAGCTGAAGAGTGTTCTGAAACAAACAAAACAATGTCAGTTTAGGTTTGAAAAATACACACCGAAATCTTTACTTTTGTTTTACGAAAATCATCAGCCAAGTTTTGAGCATTTATTGGCACATAGTCTGACTGCTTTCTCTCTTTGAGCAAAGTGTATGAGTCGATGTTTCGGTTTAATTTAAGATATCCTGTTTAAAAAAAGTTTAAAATTTAATTTTTGACTCTAACAAAAAAGAAAGTTCACTCACTCAGAAGGTTTGAATTCGCGCCGCCAACAATTTGATACAAAATGTGAAAATTGTAGCCAAAGATTTCATGTCTAGCCACTCGAGTCTGCAGAAAGTAAAGAATTTAAATAGGCACATAAAGAATTCATAAGCTCAGAATTACCTTTTCAAGAAAATCTACCCATAATGATGACACGTAAATGTTAATGTCAAACTAGCATTCATTAAAATGATACTCACGATCACAAATCTGTCCGCCTAAAGGGTCTCCGCGGAAGTCAAAGTCAATCTCAAGCATGTAAACCTAAAAAAGTCGCATTATCATATCTTTATCAAGTACCAAAAAATCAACAAGTTTCTCCTACCATTCGCGTAGAATTGATGTTGCTTTCCGTAGATGCGTTTCCAAAAGCTGTAAACATTTGAAATGAAATGAATGTCGCCTGTCGCCCTAAAGATGTCGCGCCTTTCAGCTTACCTTCGAGGATTTGCGGAATTGAACTTAGACGCGCTTTGATTTTATTCAGCTTCGATCGGTCACTCGAACCGTGGATAAAGTAGTTTAAGGCGATTTTGAGGTTTTCTGGAAAAGTCAGTGAGATTTAAAAAGTGTTCACAGTACGGTTTTAACTGGCAAACTCACCTGTTTTGCCTGAACCGCTCACTAGAGAAGAGAGTAAATGGGCAAATAAATTGAATCAAAAGTTTTGTTTGCAGACAAAAGTAGCCTACCTCCTGATGTGACAATGCACTGGTCGGCGTTGCGCTCCTTCAGGCAGAGCATCACGTACTCGCATAGTGCAAATCTGTGGAGAGAACATGTGGTCAATTAGACGCTGATTTAAAGCACTATCTAATTGAGCACTCATTACATGTGAGGCGGCAGTGCGAGAATGTTATGGTGCTCATAGGCCGCGATGATTTCAGTAGAGTATAGCTGGGGCAGTTCTTCATAAGGATTGATTGCTATCACAGTCGATTCAATGCAAGTCTGACAGACATTCACACAGATTAGATTGGTTAACTGGAAGAGTAGGGGTCACTTACGTAGATTTGCTTATTGAGAAATCGAATTTTAAGGTTCTCGAGGAAGAGGTCTTCGTCAGCCGAGTCAAAGGTGGTCGTGTCTGCGTAGCCCACCTCACTCTGCAAAAGTGGACTGGCAGAGGTGGCAGGCAGACCGACACCGCCTTCCTGGACCCATTCGATGGGCGAAGGTGTCCTCATGGCCGTCTCCTTCTTCCTCGTCAACTTGGCCAACTTTAGGGACATCTCTGGCAGGTGTCGCCTTCTCAGGTCTGCTGGTGATCAGGCAGTGGTAGTGGGAGTGAGCAGTGGGTGTCATGAGGGGTGCAGTTCAGAGTGAAAGAGCAGAGTGGTGAGCGGTGGTGAGCAGTGACATCATCTGAGCAATGGCTCACTGACGAATTGCTAGTGAGCTGAAGCAGAAAGTGCCACTTTGGGTGGCGCACTTTCATTGGCAGTGGTCGTCGTGGTCGTGGTTGTGATGGGGCTGCTGCTGGCACTGGTGGTCTGAGGGAGGCTGCAGCAGAGGGAGTGATCGATGGGTCGTCGGAGTAGGGCATTGAAACTGCTTCATTTGCTGCTCATTTTCAGGCCTTTTTTCCGCTCGCTCTCTTTTCCCCTCGTCCTCTCCCTTTTTAACTTTCACTTTCACTCTTTCTGGTCACACGACGCCTCGTTGTTCCGATTGAGCCCTGTGCAGCTCGCCTTTCACAGCTTAGTAACTGACGAACTACATGCTGCACGCGGAAGGAGACGAAAACTGCAGCTTGGCTTACTGGATGACTTCTATTGACTATCGCCGGCGGAATATCGAGAGGATACTCACGACGGACAGATGGGTGCCACTGACTGAGTCGGTGACGGGAAAGAGAAGAAAGAGAAAGGCCGCAAAAAGAGGGTAAGATAATCCCGCAGTGGCAGAAAGCAATCGATGTTCCACCGAGGGGCACTCAAAAGCATGCAGAAAGAGAAGGGGTCTGTACAGTAGCGATGACTGTACGAGTGCCACCGCCACCGACAGTTGCAAAGGAGTGAATGAAGCTCACTGGCCGACTGAAATCGATGTGTGGTCTGACTGTGTGTGTGTTTGTGTGTTTGTGTGTGCAGTAAGTCAAGGCAGTCCAGGGCAAAGAGGAACTAGGCCGCAAGGGTACGACAGCAGTGGCGGCCACGGCGACGGCTGGCACCAGGCCGCCGAGACTGCTGCTGCTGTGCAACCGATGCGAAGAAACATTTGATAAAGGAGAAGAAGAGGTCGATGCTTGCTAGCAGGGGCGGCATGCTGCTCCAGACATCGAGAAGAGAAAAGTTTTCTCAGTGTTAGGGTGTACAGTAAGCGCAGCTAATTTCATCATCGAATTATATTTTGGGTACGTTAACTGCTGCTACTGCTGCTGCCATATAACTCTGTGCCGCACTTTGGCCCGTTCTTCGTACACTGCTGCTTTCCCAAAGCTGCTGCTAATGTTCGTCTCTTCGTTGCGCATGCATCCTCTCGAGCTCATGCACTTGTGACCGCCGATGAGCACAGTATCTGAGTGAGAGTGAAAGCTAGTTGTGCAGAGAACAGACGGTCACAGACACCGAATGAGGGTGGGTAAGCCTCTCTTCTTTGATACGCTTAAGCGGCTCTAATTCTATGATTGAATTAAGTTGGGGGTACGTTAACTGCTGATGATGATGCTGGCGCAATCACTTGTTCGCCGGGCAATTGCCGCTCGGGCAGTGATTGCTGCTGTGTCCCCCCCCAAACCACTTGGCACCACTTGCCTCGTCTTTTTGCTTTGCTAATGGTGCATTAATTCACTTGAATATGCGCACTTGAGATGATGAAATATTCTCTCGTTGGGGTACTTCAACAAATGGGAGAGGAATGTGCATAGAAGGGACGGTGAAACTGCCAGGCCCAGTGCCCGGAAAATGGATAAAATTGGCAGAAGTAGTAGCTTTTCTCTTTTTTCTTTCTTTCACCCAGCCACCTTCCTTTACTCATGAGCAATGAACATCTTCTAACCCTTGCCTGGGTCGCAACGGTGAAATGCACTCACTAACACAAACCAACACAAACCAAGCAGACTCTTTCTTTTCTGCACAAATCGCATTACTTTCTTCATTCGGTCACGTTTCCTCCTTTCCACTGTACATTTCTCTTTCTCTCTCTTTTTACTAAACGTTTTTTCTCTGCCGGTACATATCAGAACAGCGGCGCACAATCGTCAAAGCTGCTAATTAATTTGCCTCCCTAATTCGCACCGTTACTCTCACTGTGTGTGAGCCAATCGAAGGGCACTGATTGCCTGCTGCTGCTCCTGATGATGATGGCGGTGGTGGTGGTGGTGGTGGTGTGATGGCAGATGGTCGCAGAAGGACACAGACAAGCGACACGCCAAATGCAGTTTGGTCTCAGATAGAGAGGAAGCAGTAGCAGCGGCATCAACGGCAGCGACATATGGCTCATTTGGCGCAAGGTGCACCGTAGCCAATTGGAGACTGCTATTGCCAACTGGCAGGCAACGCTAACCGTTTACTGCTCTATTGTTCCAAGATTGATGACAAACATGCTGGTTGTGCTGCCAATGCCGCTTCTGCTGGTAGTCGAAGTGCTTCCTACCTAAGCTGCGGCTGAAAACCGCACTGCACATAAACAAAAATCGGGCGACACTTCATTAATTGAGTGCTCAGTGCGGTGGCTTACAAATGATCTGACTAAACTAAACAAGTGTACAGCCATTGCTGCTGTTGTTGACCACCACAGCCTGGTGACCATTTGCTGCCATTGGCAGACATTGAGTCAAACTGGCAGACTGGCCGACAGGCAGGCCAATGTGTAGGTTTGTGTGAGGTGGTGCGTGTGTGGAAGTGCGCCCAACAGCTCAAACACGGTCTGCATATGTAATGCGGCCGCTTAATAAAGCTTGCCGATTAATGTTGTGGATCGAAGCAGAGCAGGACGAGGAGAAGGAAGAGACAAGAAGAAGAACTCGATCAGAGCAGTCCGACAAAGGCTATCGGATACTCAATCGGATGTGCACACACTGTCTGCCAGTGTCCTAAAACTACTGCACTTTGTGAGCCATCTTTGGCCATCGAATTGAAGTGCTTCAATCACTCAGGAGGACTGCTGCAAAGGTGGACGAGTGCTTTACAATCGGCAAACAGGAGGTGAATGATGCGAGGAGAAAGTGAAGTGCATTCACGTAATGCAAAAACAAAACTTTAAATCATAGTCAGCTAGTCCGTGGGCAAAACAAAAGAAGCACGCTAATAGAGCTGATGAAGGTGATGGCCAGTGCTGGCCAACTGGCTGCATTTTTTGCAAGAAATCAGCATCACTTGTGCCAATAAATCAAGCCGTCAAAAGCGAGCAAAAGTCACTAGTCGATTGTCGATGTCGGTGAGACAGGCCGACGAAGACGGCAGGTCGAACGCATCAAGGGCACTTTCCTACACTCACACGCAGCCATTGAAGATAGATTACTGAAGAAAATGACTGTCTATTTAGAAGAACGACCTGTTGTTCACCATTCCTCTCAAGTCGGCGACCGGCTACGACCCTTTCTTCTGCCGTCGGCTGTGCACTCTGTGCACTGATCATTGCTGCTGCTGTTGATGCTTTGTCCGATGCATGTACGCCAGTGCAACCACCACGTCAATACCTCTAAGCCACAAACACACAACCACAGACAGCAGACAGCAGTCAGAAGGCAGTGGCGGCAATCAAGCCATTTGGCGATAATAGCCATGGACAGGAGAGTACCAGACGATGGCTACTGCTGCGGCGACTTGTTGACAGCAGTCGATGCTGCCAGGTAACACAGGCACACGGACAAACAGACCCACCAAAGTATTATCATCACCACCACCACTGCTGCATCCACATCCATCGACCATCGTGATTATCTGCACTGCTGATGTGCCTCACTAATAATAACAATAATAGGCACTGGCCCTGACGAGGATCACTGCGGCATCTGGTGCAATCGGGTTCACTTCCACTTGCCGCCACTGCTCCATCATCGCCTTCCATTCTCCCTCTTGCTCTCTCTTTCTCTCGCACTCCATCTCTGACACATCTCCGAAGCCGGCAGTATTATGTAGGAGAGTGGTGGCCACACCGCCACAAGTCCATTGCCGACACACAAACTCACATTTAGAGACTTGTTGTGTGGAAGAGGCGCGAGGGCGCCATTGCTAAAATAGTGATATTATATACACTAGCCCACCACCTTTTGCCTTTTGTGTTTGCTGGACCGCTTTCTTCATTTGCCTCATCGCCGTATTACTCGTCGCCGCTGCCACTGCCGCCGTCGTGGTCGTCGGCGAGTCTTCGCCGTTCTTTGATTGGCGCATGAGAGTGTGGTGATGATGGTGATGGTGGTGAAGAGGCCACAGCGTACACGCTACGTGCTAAATACGCCTGGAGAGCTGCCAAAAAATATCAGCACAAGTCCATTCCCCTAAATGGTGCTCCAAAACAGTCGGCGCCGTTTCCCTCATTCACCGCTGCTAAGGTGTGGTGTTTGCTGCACTTTGCATAACACTGTGTGATCTACTGCTCTGGTCAACAGGTCCTCAGTGCTTCGGTGTGTGTGCTTGTGCCATGTGACCAGAAATTCAGTGAATTCAACGATAATTACCCCGCAGCCATCGCAGGCTCCAGATGACCTTTCACTAGTTCAGTGGTCATCAGTCTGGGCCAAATCGACGCATCGGTCAATCGCCTACAGTGTCAAGTCATCATAATCGAACAGTGGTGTGAACGGAAATCGTCTGCACTCTGCAATATGCCCTTGGTGCAACTACAACCTGCTCCAGTAGGCGCACGTGTCAAATAACCCAGTGCTAATTGGGGTTGTCATTCTTATTCTTCCTCCTCTTCACATTCTTTGGTCACCTTGTTTACCTTGTGCCGGTTCGCCGGTATGTGATGGGCTTTCACTGCCACGACCGCCACTACCAGCACTAGCATCAGTGGCACCAGTGTTTGTTTGTTTCACCTGGATAACGCTCTCTACGAAGGGGCTTCAAACATCTCTCGGCTAGCAGCGAAAGCAAGCAAAAAGGCAGTTGTTTTTGCAGATCACAGACTTCAATTTTTGCATCTTTTTAGTAGCTTATCAACTTAATTTTATTGTAAATGGCTACCTTGGATAGCTTCCTGGTCCACCTGTCCAGCCAAGACACCAAGAAGAAGCTGGCAGTTGGAAATGACATTTTGATATATTTAAGCGTTGAAGACAACACGCTTGAATGTGAAAACATTAGCGCTTTCATCGATTCCATAATTCACTGGCTCAACAACAGCAATTTTAAGGTATTTATCAATCAGTGTACTGTTCCTGTTGTTGTGCTTCTCGCTTCAACAGATCGGCACGTTTTAGTTGTGCTTGAGAGGGACAAATCTTGTCGTGCTTACACTGTGTTTTCATTACCACTAGGTTGCTCAAAATGGCCTCGAAATACTCGCTCAACTGACATTTCGCATGAAGGAAGATCTAAAGCCCTACTTATCGTCGAGTATGCTGATAACGCCCCTGTGAAATGCATTCTTAACTAAACATGTGTTTTGTTTGTTTGTTTGTTTACAGTACTTACTCCAACCACCGACCGTCTTGGTGATAGCAAAGATTGCGTTCGGGAACAGGCAAAAGCTTTACTTAGTCGACTGATGAACTTTGTGTCAACACCACAAGTAAGTTTTTCATTTTAAAGTTGTGTAGTAATAATTTATTATATGTCCTTTTATTGTTTAGAACATTCTCGAGAAGCTTACTCCTGCATTTAGCCACAAAAATTGGAGAGTTCGTGAAGAAATGTGCTTTTTCTTCCAAGAATGCTTACTTCGGTACGGTGTCGTCGGCTCAACGAATGGCCAACTTTTAGTGTCAAAGTTTGTTCCACCTCTTATTTCGCTGGTCTCTGACCAAAATCTCCAAGTTCGCGACACCTCCATGAACACGCTGGTCGAAATCTACAAGCATGTCGGCGATCGACTTCGACAAGAAATTCTGCGCAAGCACGCCAATATGCCTCACCAAAAGTATGTTTTTTAAATATTGTTTGTGTAGTATTTTTAGGAGCCACCACATTTAGATGAGATAGTCTTTCTGCAAGGTCATTGCTAACTGTCAGTTGCGTGTTGTGACTGTCATTCAAATCTGACGAGCCTTTCTTGCCGCATCCCCTATTGTGTCATTCATTTGAATTGTCACACTAATTAAGCATCAGCATAGGTGCATTATTATATTCTAGAAGGTGGTTTACGTGCAGTCCTGTAGACAATACCTTGACCACCACATCACATCACCAATCCGCAATGTTTGCTCTTACACAAACACACACCACATCAACCGGCCTATTGGCGCTGTCACTCGTTTGTGTACATTCGGCTAACTTTCGTTTGTATTTCCATTTTAGGCTGCAAACACTGCTTTCAAAGTTTGACGACATTGCCAGCACTGGTGAAGTTGCGCCCAGCAACGGCAGTACCAACGGCAAAATTGGTAAGTGATGCTATTTTCTTTTTGCACTTTCTTCTACAGTAGTACGTGTTTTGTCAGTTTTTTATTGGCTAGATCTATTTTAATTGAAAGAACACTGTCATATTCGTTTAAATTGTCTTCTTTTTAGTGGCTTGTAGGGCTAGCAACTAGCACTGTCGTGCCATTGTTACCTTGTCTTCTCCCACACCATCGAGAGCGATACCTGTGTATTTGTTGTTTGTATACCTGCATAGCACTGAGGCCACAGGCTGCAGCACTGCAATATACACCGCTTATCGACACTCAAGGCTCACTGTTTGGCCCTCAAATGATAATGGCTGATGACATGAGCATTTAGCTGACAGGTCCTCTATACCTGCCTAATCTCTAATGCAATTTATTTAATTATTGAAATTACGGACGCAGTCACTCCCGCCTTTACTAGATGGCGATCCCCAGTTAGAAAGGAGAAGCGAAAGCGAGAGAGAGAGAGAGAGAGAGAGAGAGAGAGAGAGAGAGAGAGAGAGAGAGATCCAAACAGAAGTTTGGCAGAAAAGTTTTAGTCTCATTACATAACCAGAACAAACACGAGTTGTTTTCTCTTGTAGCTTTTGCTTTTAGCGCAAATTGCGGTAGAGTTCTTTTCCGTTATTTGTTGAATTGTTTTATATTTCCTAATGTCTCACATTTTATCAGCTGTTGCTTTCTGCCATTCTTTCAACAACCGATCTCAAGCCATCGATTAGAGCGAGCCAATTGTAAGGCGCTAATTTGCCACTCTTGTCGCCTCAAATTCAACCAGTGTGTCTCCTCTCATTGACACTTGACAATTACCACTACCGATCTTGATTGGCAGTCTGATTGCTTTTTGTGGTGCCATTTGTAAACGACTTGTCTTGTCTCAAATTTATTACTGTGCCAACTGCCACTTCATGTAAGCAGTGCTGACTAGCCAGGTATTACCTCGTAAAAGCCCTCGTTTGATCCTCAAAATTGGCTAGGTGATCGACGACAGCATAGTCTCTTTCTCTCAGTTGTCTGCTTGAATCTATTGGTCGGAAAACAATCGACTAAGGGGCCATGATGATGAGACCAATTAGGCCAATAACAATTATCTACAAGACACAAACACATCAAACAAAGCTTTCACTTGAATTTGAATTTATTGACTATTGTGTCAAGTGTTATTTCCGAAAGAAAAACAGTGCTATGCACTGTCGTAATTTGCATGACACAACCAACCACAGTTGTCTGCTGTCTACTGTTTTGACCTGTTTACCTTTCTTAGCCAATTAAGTTGGTTTCAATTAGCTTTTATAATAATTATTGAGATAGCACTCAGATTGCGTCATGCCATCGATTGTTCTACCAGGTGAATGCATTCATCTACCTGGCTTCTATTACTTTGCCAGTTTTTCCTTATACTTCAACAAAGAATGGCCATTGAGTAGTCGGCGCATATTTATAGCGCCATTGTCACCGTCAGTCCGCAGGGTCACAATTCGTAATAAAAATGTGAAGTTGTTGTCACCACTGTCTTTTCAGAACGACATTGCTTGCTACTACTTCATATTTCGGCATATCAATCTGCTTCACATTACCTTATCGCGCACTTGGCCGTGGCGACACCTTTGACGATTGCCGACGGTTTTCTTTGTTAATGTTTACGCTTGAGCTGCAACCAGTGCCTACCACTTCTTTTGCCAGTTTGGTCCATCTTCTCGGTACGTTTGTGGTTTTCGAATGGCAAGCAAACTGGTCTGTCTTGAATGCTGTTTTGATGACAAAGGTAGTGCACGGTATCTTGTGAGCTTGATGGCGCACTTGGCTATTACTTGAGTGAGCTTTTAAAGTAAAGACGGTCACAGTTCGGTTCGTGGCAAGTGACTCAGTTGAGGAGAGGTCAGTGCAGCCATTTGATTTCCTCTTCAAATGAGAGCACTGTGCTTCCCCTCTCTCCCCTGTCGCTCCAAAATGACTGGCTGTAATTAATGGAGTGGCACAGTGCTGCATCGTTGTCGCGGTTGTTTCCTCGCTAATGGTCGCAATTAGACATCGATCAATTTCGATGCACTTCTCGGTGACAGAGGATATAACTGCTTTCTCCGTTTACTCTCTGAGAAAGTCGCCACTTATCGCCTAATTGATTTGGCTACCGACTTGGTGTGTGTCCATCGTTGGTGTGCCACCACCTCCGCTTAGCATCAAACCATCCATCCATCCTCTTTACCTGTCGAGTCGATTGAGGCCACCTTGTGCAGTGTGAGTGTGTGTGTGTGTTTTCAGTCCAGACGGTCACTTGGCAATGGTGACAGGTCATTCGACATGGCTGCCTGTTCACTGCCAATGACCATCATCATCATCAGTTGGTAGTTGAGGAGGTGGAGGTAGTGCACTTCTATATTGTGTCTTAGTTATCGCAATCACACTTTTTTTAGCTGAGACGATCAACGAGTACAGAAATGACACCACAAATGATGGCCACTAGCAGCAGGCCGCAGACGGAGGAAGCTGTTTGTGTGAGCTTCTATTTTGAGTGAGATTCATTGCCGCTAATGGTGTTTCGCTTCCAAATTGTCGCAATTGTTTGCCCTCGCTCTACTGCTGCCGTTAGCTGCTGTTGCTGGCTGCCATTGAGATAACTCACCGCATTCTGCCGCACTCGATTGACTTGTTGATATCTACCTGCCTTCCTTCGGTTGCTCCCCTAGTCGCTTGTTGTTGTGGGCTGCCGAACTCGCCTTGTAGCTCAATTAAGCCGTTGCCCAGCGTTGCAGCGGCGACCATCTAACTCGATTGTAAGCGTTTCTTTCCTGCTAATTGTCTGCAAGCAATTCACTTTCGTGTCTTTTTCCCGCTTCTCTGCATTCGATTTGCACTTGGCGGTCTGTTTTGTCAGCAAATGCGCTCACACAAACACCGACAAATGGCACAAAATCCCCCTTGAATGGGCTTTGAGAGGGGCCTTCTGTACGTCTGATGATCTTCGGATGCACATTGTCGCACAGATCGGAAGATCAACCAGCAGCACACTCTTCTCTTGTGCACTTTTCTCGATGTCACCGTCAGCACAATGTTATCCCCGAATGTTCTCTTCATTGTGATGTCAGAACTGATGCCAGTACTACCTGTACAGAGTGTGTGCTGTGCCCGCTGATGCTGTTTTAGGCGCAGCTTTGAACCTGGTTTCCTCTCGCAAGGTCGCACATTTGCAAAGTAGCTTACGACTCAATCTGAGTCGTTCAGTCAAGTCAGCGCGAACATGGACCGTGTCGGGGAGTGCGGGAGTTCTCTCTCTAATGTTGCTCTTTGCCAACTGGCTCTACTCATTTTGAATTGGCAATTAGTCATCATTATTTTTTGCGTTTACATCTGCGATTTCCTTGTGCGTGCGACCAAACTCTGAGAGTTCAGTTGCGGTGCCAGGAGATAGAGGCAAGTGCCCGTGCACACTCGAGTGCCCTTCTCCTGGGTTTCACTCGCTGCTGCTGCTGTTTCTGCTGTCAGCTTCAGTCACTTTCACGGCAATCGGAAGCGTACCTGTGTGGCACTGCACGGCTTTACTTCCTCTACTGCCGTTATTACCATGTTCCTTTCTCTCTGTGACTTACCTTTCAGACAAATGGTGTGTGTGTGTTTATCTGTTTGTGCTTGTCCACCTTCTCTTCTGGTACTGCTTTCGCACTGGTGGTGGTCTGACGGTGATGATCAGGTCACGAGAGTCACTCTTGCTCGCACCTGTGCCTCGTCACCTCACTTCTTCTCCTTCTGCTTCTTGCATCGAGGATCGTTTCGTTTCTGCACAGCGCGGCACCCATTCCGCGGCATGTGTCGGTCTGCCTGACTGCCGCACCACTGGCAGCAAGTACAGCGCTGCAGAAGTTGCTGCAGTATCCTATTGGCGACAGCCCTCTGCCCTCTCTCGTTGCCGGTCTGCCTGTACTCTTCTGGCAGTGCTTCTCTTTCTCTCTCTTTGAAACTGCTGAGACAGAGACGCGCACAGTCTGAATGTGCCGTTAGTTGTCGACGGAGTATCGTGCCGAGCAACAGCACTGCTCTGCAGCCGCCACCGCTTCATGTGATTGCCTCAGTCTGACAGTTGTCGACTTGAGTTGCGGTTCACCATTCACTCTCAGCTGTTCGGTGTGTCGCCGGACGAAGCATGACTACTGCAACTACTTCTACTTTTCTTCTTCAACGGTGTCTTCTACCTTTTCAGTAGTGCTGGTTCTCTGCCTGCCTAGCATTGCAAAGTGCCGGTGTTGTCGTCACACACCGGGTACTGCAGTGTGTGATCAGTGTCGGTTGTGTGTAGTGCAGTTGTCTTTGGTGGTGAAATGCGTTCCACGGAGCACTTTGAAGACTGTGTCAGTGTGTCGAATAAATCGTCTGAATCGGTCGACTCGGTGCTCTACGATCCGTCCTACGAGCAGCATGGCCAGTCCAACTACGCCAGCGAATGCGACTCACCCCCTGCGTCCTCGAGCGGGCTCCACTTGTCAGACGACGCCGATTCGATGCTGTCCGAGGCGAAGCTGGGCCCGCGCTCGCCCACTGTGAGCAGCATCAAAATGTACAGCCTCTCTGCGAACAACAGTCCCTTTCTGGGGCGGAAGAATCTAGTCTCCGAAAGTGGGTCCATCATCTGGGACGCCGATGATGACTGGATCCAGCAGTACGACAAGATGCTTCGCATGACCAGCTGTCAACAGCGAAAGCGGGCCTGTGGCTGTCTGCTGAAGCGCTCTTCCGATATCAACTACCAAAGTGTCCTTTCTAGTCCTCAACACTTTCGCCGAGGTACAGTGATCTCCTTGTCCTTCCCTTTTCTGGAGTGTTCTTTGCCTCTTTAGTGTGTTATGGTCCAACACTGTTTGTCCCCAATGGCCTGTACCAATTTGCACTGCGGTCTGACGCTGGTGTGTGTGTTTGCATCTACACTTCGCTTCAATGCACCTCTACACTGCACCTTTCTCCTCTATGCCCAGTCTATCGATTCCGTTCCTGCTCAGTCTGTTCTGTTTGGTTCTGCCGTGCCGTCTCTCACTGCCCTCTTTCACTCTGCACACACATACATCTTTGCCCCGTTTCTGAAACTGGCGATGCTGCATGCCTGCATGTGCAGCCAGGCCAGCAGACGGCGGCCTGGCCTAGACTACACTGTCGCTCTCTGCCCTTTGTGGGCCATTTCTGCCTACACTGGGCAGATTTCCTCTTCATTCAGCGGGTGCACTCTGCTCAAAGTGTTCTCTGAGGTCGAGTTCACTTTCCATCTCCTTCGCCTGCTCGCAGGGGTAACTCTTCGGGGACGCTGTGCTCATCGACGTCGGCTAAGCGACTGCAGCAGCGGCGTTTAGGAATGGCATCACACCACGCACGCTAATTGTCTCTCCCTCTCATTCTTCTTGGGCCGATGCCGGCAAGTTGACAAGCGTCATTCCGGTTTCACTGTCCCCTGCCATTGTCTCTCTTCTCCCGTCCACAGGCTGTTTTTCCCTGTCGCATTTTCACTTACTGTCGTCTGTCGTCTACTTTGTGCAAGGGTTGCATTTCTGTGGTGATGTGCCATGTCGCTCTTTCACTCTCTTTCTCGGGCATTTGCTCTCGTCCAATGAGTCTTTTGGTAGAGTGCCTCGACGGACAAACATTGACTACTTCGGCAAGTGCTCGAGCACGCGAGTGACACTGATCGGCGATATCAGTTAATGGCGCATTGTTGGCGCGTGATCGAGCCCAATTACAACTCTCGGGCACTTGCTGTCAGTGTGCTTCTCTCTTCCTTCCTTCCAGGCCGACTTACCGCATTTGACCGGCATTGCACGAGCAGTAGTAGAAGAGTGGGAGAAGGGAACTGGCGCTGTCGGCGGTGCGACAAACCTGCAAACCGCCGAATCACGCCGTCACATTTGCATACACATCGCAACCAATTGGTCGGGCACTCGATAACAATAGCAGAGCACCTTACTCTCGATTCACTTTCTCTCGATTTACGATCGCTCGTTGAGAGCTGACAAGCTTGTTTGCCTTGTTAGCCTCCCGGCTGCGCTCGCACGGGGGCTATGATTAGAAAACGAATCGCCGAAACAAGTCGCTACGCAGTCGGCATCATGTCATGTTGTCTTGTCCTGTGTGTGTATGCGTTGGCACTGCATGTGACCAGGCGATTTACGATGTGACATTACTTCGCACTGGACGGCCAGTGCTTGCACCATCCAAAATGCTGGTTCATTGTGACCACTGCCACTAGTGCGTATGAGTGTTTGTCTGGCTCATTGATCGACTAGTAGTAGAGCGAATCCACTACTACGGTGGTGGCCTCCACTTGTCTTTTTAAGCTGCCGATGTCTAATCTGTCGATGCCATTGATCGTCATCAGCGGGCACTTCAGAGGACTCTCTAAATGGCTTTTTGTTGGCAAATATTTCTAATGTACTCGCAATGCAAGCAAGCATGCCTCGAGCGGTCATTTCGACATTTGTTTTGTTGTTTCTTATTCTTGCAATTTTAATTTTCTTATCACTGTGAGTTCATGTGTACTACTACTTTTTCCGAATTTCTTATTGGAAAATAAAGAAGGAGACTCCCTTGGTGAGTGTGAACAAAATTTCACCTCGGACTTTTACTTCTGACTATATTTTCAGTGCCTATCGATCAAATTGTGAGCTTCTTAATTGAGGGGAGCTGGCACTCTCATACACACACAGCGTTGACCACACTTCAACACAGTAGGTGATAAGTTTGGCGAGATTTTCACTAATTGGCGGCAGAACCTTCGCCCTGCGCTGACTGTCCATTAGAAGAAAGTAATCCGATTTGGCGGCACTTTGCGAACGCCTGCAAGGCTATTTGGTTCATTTGAATCGTTCGTCCAGCGTGTCACTGCAATCGAGCACACATTGTCGCCTTGATAACCGCACAACAGCACTGCTGCCAATGTCAACTGCCGCTTCAATTAGGTAGAATCGACAAATGAACTGACCTCTGAGACGTGATAGTGCCTATTTGCATGCACAGACTTCCATGTTTGGACTTGACAAAGCATTTTTACTATCCACTACTATTGCTTCCGATTGTTTGCTCTCTGACACGTCTCCTCAGCCGAAGGACCCAAAGGAAGTGTTGGTGGTGGTGGTGAGCAGTTCAATGTGCAGCACAGATGATGATGATGATGATGATGACTGGCCCATTACTACCATCACACCGGCACTTACCGATTCGTGGGTCGTGGCGGGCTGCACTGTGGACGCCACACTGACGCCGAGCGCAATTAGTGACCA